CTTTGTGCAGCCTTCCGGTAAAGTTCATGGAGAAACGACAGCGCACCAAGGCATGATCAGAGTCGACACAGGTACTCCAGTACGAGCGGCAATCCAGAATGGAACCCGCGCCACCTGTAACTTATGGCTATGTGGTCAATTTGGGTCCATCGCTGGCCAGCTACAGGTGGACGCCAAGTGGCACTTTGGCGCCCACTGTGCTAGTAAGAAACAACTGGTGCTCCGCACGCAGTTGCAGCAGACGCTCGCCGTTGTCAGTCCGTTGGGAGTTAAGTCCATACTTACCACCCAGCTGAGCTTCTGAAGAGCTCAGACGCCCTACTTGTGCGTTCATATCCCCTGAAATTACTATAATATCTGAACTAGTAGCACTGCGTAGTAGGGCGTTCAGTTCGTGATAGAAAGTGTCCTTGACTGCATTAGAACTGCAGTCTGTGGGAGCATAAACGGAACTCACAAACAAACAGCGTTTTGTTTTACTTCGCGAATTCACCTTAGCTGATGTCAAACGGGTTGCACATAAACGGCTGTTCACCGGAATCCAATCAACCAACGATGACTCAGCCTTGGAGCTGAGAATGATACCTACACCAGCTTGACCCGTGAGTGCCGCATCGGCGTCTCCGGATGCGTGTAACCAATAACGAGAGGATAAGCCGGGTGCAGTCAATTCAATAACCCCGTTAGGGTCATTAATCCTAGTTTCGGACACACAACACACATCAACACCCAGTGTGTCCAAGGTGCGTGCGAGTGCAGCCTGCTGACCTGTTTGTCTTAGAGTGCGGACGTTGAATGTCGCCATAGAAACGGGACAGCGTGGTCTTATAAGGGACTTTTGCCGATAGGCGTCCAATAGGTGCTGTGGGATGGTGGCTGCAGATGGTACTACTCCAGTAGCACTTCGGTTGCTGTCAATTAAGCTGGGAATTATAGAAGTAAGGTTAGTTATGGGGGTCGGGATGGGAGTAAGAGAAAAAGGTGGAAAAGAAAGAAGGGAGGCGCCAGCAGTAGCATGTTTTCGCTTATCCGCACTGCTGTATGCAGCAGATAAGGCGACCCTTGATAATCTGCGCGACGGCCGATGCAGGATAAAGTTTATGTTTGAAGAAAATGTCATGGTTGTATGTGGGCTGGGATACTGTCAGGGCGCCCAGACCTAGACAGGAGGACGATTAGGGTCCTCATCCAAAGCCTTTGGCTCAAAAGCCTGTCCGCAAGGCAGCGGGGAGGTGGCAATGCTTTAGTTTTACAGAAATGGACGCCATCCCATTTCAAACCCCAACCTGGAGGACCAGGAGACTGAGTTTGTCTGACCTCTCACCATTGACCAACCTGGTAGGAGTAGCTCTCAAGATGCTCGGAGGCATCACCCAGTATAGCTCAATGGGTCAATGAGGTACGCAAACCGTCGCACCACGTTATGGTCCAGTCTCGTTGCGACAACTCATCGATCATCGACGGCTACCTCTAGGTTTCTCGAAACGTTGACAACCTGCCGAATCGCGTTACAACACCTGCGGTAGGGAACTATTAGCTATCTACCTAGGTATCAGACATTTCCGTCACTACCTCGAAGGTCGACATTTTACGGTATTCACTGACCACAAGTCATTGATCTACGCAATCAATGGCGCAACAGACAAGTATTCTCCCTGGGAAAGTAGACACCTAGGCTACGTTTCTCAGTTTACGACAGACGTACGACATGTCTCAGGTGCTCACAATCCTGTCGCGGGTACGCTATCACGCAATCATCAGATCAGCTTATCGCCTGGCACCATCATTGACCTAACCGCCATGGCTGCTGCCCAACAAGCTGATCCCGACATAGAGAAGCTACGACGCAACACCTCTTTGAATCTACGCGAAGTTCCACTAGCTTTATCTGAGGGGACCATTATTTGTGACGCCTCACAAACTTCTTCCCGACCCGTAGTTTCTATTTCGATGCGTCGACTAGTTTTCAACGCTTTACACAACCTGTCTCATCCCGGTATACGTGCTTCGCAGAAGCTCGTAACCGAACGCTTCGTGTGGCCCAACGTCAGTCGCGATGTCCGCCTTTGGGCACGCGCATGCTTAGAGTGTCAGCGCGCCAAGGTATATAGACACACCAAAAGCCCACTGGGCGCCTTTCCCTTTCCTGACTCTCGTTTTGCACACGTCCATGTCGACCTGGTCGGACCTTTGCCCCATGCAAAGGCTACGTGTACCTCCTCACCTGTGTCGACCGGTTCACCCGTTGGCCAGAAGCGATTTCGTTAGCAAACTGCTCATCTGAGACACTTGCACAAGCCTTTCTAGAATGCTGGGTAGCTCAATTCGGTTGCCCAAGCGTAGTCATCACCGACAGAGGATTACGTTTTGACGGATCCTTCAGCAAACTGCATAACTTTCTTGCTTGCCAACACAACCGAATCACCGCATACAACCCCGCAGCTAATGGGATGATAGAAAGGTTCCACCGGCAACTCAAAGCATCACTCTGTGCCCAATCTAGCACATCCTGGGACAAAGCACTTCCGCTCGTTCTCTTAGGCATAAGAAACACGATGAAAGCGGATTTGCATGCCACTCCCTCTTCGTTAGTCTTTGGGTGCCCACAACGCTTACCTGGTGAACTCGTCTCACCAAAAGCGCCAACAATCTTCGACTATGGCGACTACGCAGCTCGCCTATCTCATCACATGCAACAGCTTCAGTCCGTGCAACCCAGAGCACAGCTTGCGTACCAACGTGGACGAACGCTTAACTACCTGCACGCACGTATTCGTTCGCACTGACAACCTACGCCGACCACTCCAACTTCCTTATGCTGGCCCGTACCTTGTCGTACGCAGAAGCGACAAGACTTTCACCATCGACTACAATGGTAGGCCTGAGACCATCAATGTCGATTGACTCAAGCCAGCATTCCTCGACAACTCTGACTCTTCGATACTACAAGCATCAGACCAGTCAGTTCGTTCTAGAGGAACCTACGACCTCAACCGACAGCACTCCTACTAGCCCTGCTGTCAATCGACGCGGTAGGAAGCTCCAACCTTCAGTGCGTTTTTCGGACTTTGTTAGCAGTTGCTATTTCACATAGAACGTGCCTCTGAAACCTTTTTTGCTCTTATCAAACCCTTTCCAAAATCCACCAAAAAAGATCAAAACCTTTTGAAACTACCAAAAAAGAGCAAAACCTTTTGAAAACCCAAAAACTGCTTTACACCTTTTTCGCTTTGCGCTTACGCTGCTTCTTCATTTTGCCTTCCATATACACTGTCGGTTGGTTGCACCTCGGTTTCACGTTTCGCTGGATCCCCGCACGTCATCTGGAAGTGGAATGAACTTCTTGCTAAACCACCTACGAGAACTTTACTAACTGTTCCCCCACAAACAGTTTTTACCGTTTCTACACCGTAGGGAGGACACGGGTGGGCGCCCACTAGGGTCCGATTGCATGGTTCTCCCCCAGCAGCTGCATCAGGTTTCACAACCTGTTCTCGCAGAAGGCTGGCCCGCGACGGATAGTCCTCATGTAGATCGAAGGACTGCTTACACAGTCCCTGGGAGTGGGCCATGTAGTAGTCTGGTATGTATGTATGTAATCGCAACAGCCTATTAAGTAGACACAGAGCCAGCATAAAACCATGGAGATCAGCAGATAGGCAAGATTCATCACGTCATAATCATCGTGGCATGTTAGTTGAAGGTGAGCAACACACTTCAACCAATATGCCGTAGGAGGAATGGAAGATTTTGACAAAAAGTAGAACAAAACATTTTAGTTTGTTTTTCACACGCCGCTTTTACTCTTTTTTTATCATTTTTCAATGTTTGTAGTGTGAAACATGTGAATCAGTACAATAATGTACACAATTATTCCACTGATTCCCGTTGCGGGCCGTCTTCAAGAGTGTCAAGCCATTGACACCTCATCTTCGGGTCCCATCCTGGAAGACGTACGGATCCAGCAGCGGCTTGACACGACGTCAGCGATTTCATGTGCTGCCGCCAAGTGGGAGGCTGACCACCACGCGGTCGCCTCCAGCCAGGTCCTCGACGAGTGAATAGAGCGCGACGCGGTAGACGCTCAGGTGCCATACGTAGGACGTGACTGAACCATCTCAACTGGCGCAACAAAAGCAGTTTGTTGAAGGGAATACTCGCATTCCCCAAGATGCGACGTCGAACGTCATTACTATTAACTCGATGTTGCCACCAAACACGGGCTATCCTCCTTAAGCAACCGTTATCGAAGGCAGAAAGACGACGCATGTATTCCACCCGAATCGGCTAGGGCTCGCACCCATACAACAATACTGAGCGAACTGATGCGCTGTAAACGCACCTTCGAGAGTGAGTACGGGAGCAGGTGAAAGCCAATCCTTGAGCAGTACTTTGCACTTCGATGGGGCGAAGCTCATGCCGTACTTAGATGCT